AGGGAGGGGCGGCCATCTGCTGCGACCGGTTGGGGTGAGAGAAGGAAGACAAGCAACAAAAACTTCTGTTTTTGTTGGGCTTTCTTAACAAGGGCTCTCGTCCCCACTGTTTGGACAACAGTGTTGAAACTTTTGCACAACATGGAAGTGAGGCAAACTTCTGCTGTGTGGACACATGAGGGCAAAAGTACCTTCGAATGATGCAGCCTCCTCTCCACATCAGGGCGATTGCACCATAGTTGAGCGTCCAGCCAAACTCATTGGCCGCCTGGCGCAGCAGCATGAATCCCTGCGCGTAGGAAATGATCTTGGACGCATACAGGGCCTGGACAAATGAAAACATAACAATTTTCATATTACTTTCAGTGTTTAAAATGTCTATTCATCACTTCTGATACCTGGTAATCTCAAAGGGTGCGCAAACATTTTTACTTTGACCTCTCTGTGGCATGCTGCTCTAAACTGGCCCATTTAGAGTAAATGCATTTACTGTGGTTTTACCTTTCTGATGTCTTCTAGGAAGGTAGCCTTGTTGCCACTGAATTTGACCCCCTGTGGCCCTGACAGGCTGCGGCTGGCCTCCACTCGCTCATCCTTTAGAGAAGACAGACATCTGGCAAAGACAGCCTCCCCTGGGAGACAACAGGATGAGAGAAGGGAGAGGAAAGAAGAGGGACGGCATCAGTGCATATACTACACACACCGCTTTGAGTGTCACATAAACTAACTGCCCAGCTTTTTTTTCTTTTTCTTTTAAATAGTAATTTAGGTTTCCCGAGATCTCAAAAAAATGACAAAGCATTACACAGAATTTCCAAGCTGATAGTCACAGCGACCCTGTGCTATCAGCCAACGCTCGAGCGACAGCATGACTCAGCAGTGTTTGCAATAGTGTTTGGTAAAGCAGGCGTGCCAAAGCTACATCAGACAAAACTCAAGGTTTCCCAGATTAGAGAGGATCATTTCCTTGCCACTAAATGAGGACAGTACGGAAAAAAAAACCTGTTGGGTCAGCATGACTTGCTAAAACCTGCACTGCTCTATAACGTAAAAACTGTCCTAGTGAGGAATGTGATCCCTGCTGGGTGAGAGCGCCTCCTGTACATACTGCTTCGCCCTGATGGGCTTAGTTCTCACACAATGAAGCCTTTTATTCTGCACCCATCCCTCTCTAGCACAGCAGGGTATCCAACACAGACAAGGAACAAGCAAACACAGCAATATATAGTTTACCCTGCATGCTTTTAAAGTTAATCATATAAAGCTTGCTTCCTGTTTAGGTCTGTTTATGAAACAGACTATGATACAGTCACAGCAAAGACCAAAGCCAAATCCCCCTTATGTCACCTGACATGCACAGGCCATCAGAATAGCCTTCAAGCTTCTTACAGGCAACAACATATTGATCACATTCTCTAAAAGAAGCTCACAGCCCATGCTGTGTTTGCCAGCTGACAGATCCAAAGTATAAGCCCAAGAAATCTGATCATTAAAGGGTAATTTGATGAGTGGCTTTTGCGGTATTGGTACATGAGTTGTTCATTGCTTTAAGCCTCCTTTCTTCCTCTTACCGATCAGTGTGACAGGCGTCCCGTACTCGAGGGCTGAAATGGCCGTCCACTTCCCTGTGCCTTTCTGTCCAGCACTGTCGCGGATTTTGGGCAGCAGATGTTTACCGTCAGAGTCTTTGTATTTAAGGATGTTAGCTGTGATCTCAATCAGGAAGGAGTCCAGCTCAGTCTTGTTCCAGCTGTCAAAAGCCTTAAAAAACAAAACAAAAAGTCAAAAACACATA